AAGACCTGAGTAGAGAGGTAACACAAATCTTTAACAGTACTACTGTAAAGACTAGATCTAGAAAACAGATACCAATGTGAAAAAAATCGAATGGGCAAGAACTTCAGTAAGGGGTACCACCAACCAGGCCACCAGAAGATTCGAACCGGAGGAAAAGGACCTTGAGGAACAGACCCTAGGGTACTAGGGACAGGTCACAGTCCTACTGGGCTATCTGGATTAGGAGCTTAAGGTCAGAAACAGGGGTATACTAAAGTACTAGAGATATGCTGTGAAGTCAGTACTGGGGTCTAGGTGAACTCTGCAAGGGTAAGCCCTGTTAGAAAAGATTAAATATGGGTAGTTAGTTAGCAGGAAGGCCCCTTGGAGTCCTATAGTCAGGTGACATACTCTGAAATATGTAATGGCTTGACAGACATACAGACAGGGAGGTCAAGGTTAGGTTAGATGGCATCTAATTAGGTGTACAGGAGCTTGTGTTACTATTTGCTAGTGTAGTATAGGGGTAACTTTGTACAAGTTATGTAATTATAATTGAATTCACAATAAAGGCAGTAGCTGCCATAACTAAAAGGCCTTAGTGTAAGCAAAAAAAAAAAAAAATTATTAATTTGTAAATCATCATAATTACTAGTAAATTGAATAATTCACATTTATACTAATTAATTTGTAAATAAACAGATTATAAACTTAAAATTAGTTTTTATAAAATTTGCAATAAGTTTATTAGTCTCTAAAACATTAAATATATAAAAATAAGCAAATAATTAATTTTAATACTTATTTTTCTATAATCTTTAATATTATATACTAATTCTTTTAATTATAAAAAATTTATCTTTAAATATAACTATTAATTCAATGCCTCAAAACATTTTATATTTCAAAAGCCTTGCTTTAAATATCCTTAAGAATAACACTTTAGAGGTTATTGCAAAAAGTATTGAAGTTTCAGAACTAATTCCATGCTCAAAGTATAATAAAGAACTTTTTTTGTATAAAATTAAAAAACTATTTAGGATACTTGCTTGCACTCATATATTCCACTATAATTGTTTTGAGGACTATATGAAAGATCTTCTACAATGTCCTAAGTATGCAATAGAAGTTGAACTAATTAATTATTCTGAATCTAGTTTACAAAAAAATTAAATACAAAATACTTCAGTTTTAATGCAAATTTCATTAAAAATGTCATCTAATCAGAGTCAGAATATAATAACCTTAGATACAATACAGATTTTTAAACCTATCTCCTTATTTTATCTAAATAATATAAAACAGAGTTAAAAAAAAACCTAGCAAAGATACTACTAAAAATAAATCATTTAGTAAAAAATCAAAATAGAATAAAGAAAAAGACAATAAGAAAGATTCTAATACTATAAAAAAACTTATTACAGAATTAAAGCTAACACTTCTGAACAAAATAAAATAACTTCTTACCAAGTAATAATTACCAAAGATAACCCACAACCTATCGATTTTCTAAATTTATATACTAAAATTACTTTTGCTAAAAGTAAAAATCAAAAACCAAGTTAGAAAATAATTTTTTAATACTATAATTTCAGGATGTCTATAGCAAAATACTTTAAGTTTATTATAAAAAATCTTATAATGTAAATAATGCTAATAGTAGTGTAAACAAAGAAATTGAAAAATAACTCTCTAATAGTACTCCTGAAACTACTATTCGAAAAAGAAAAGAAAGAACCCAAAAGATTTTTTACTTATTTAGTAAGGTAGTAACAGATAAGATAGAACAAGTGAAATCTTTTAGTGCATTAACAATTGCCAAATTAACTGTTGATCAAATTAACTATGTAATATATTAAATTTCTAATAAACTCTTACAGAATCAATTGTATAGGTTACGTGGATATAATCTCGAAGACAGAGAGTCTATGGACATGTACTGATTACATGATATTTAGCATTATGAACATATACCAATTATGTGATATTAATTATTATATAATTATTTTTATAAAGTAGCAAACTTAAACAAAAATGCATTTTTTATAATAAATTATCAAAAACTTTACTTTAATTATCCATATTAATTAATCCAAGCTGCATACAATAAGACATGTTAACATAATAATTGAAAATGACTTATTGTCTAATGATAAGATGATCTAAAACCTGTTAGATCTTTTTTGACAAGATAATTTTAACATCCTTACTTAGGATTTATGATGATAGCTGTAAGTTAAAATTCTGAAATAATGATATGAATTTTAGATAATTTTTAAATATAAAAATAAAAATATCAAATTTTATACCAAACAATAATGTTACAACTAATATCAGCATAAAATTTGTAACAAGTTTCTTTAAAATTTTATATTTGACAATGCTAATATCGATTAATTTGTCTTTTTTTATATGTAGTGAATATTAAAAGCTATATAGTCTACTTTGAAAACAAGCCAATAGACTGTACTATAGATCAGTTTATAAACTGATTTTTAGGACCAAGACTAAACTAAGTCATCTTATAATAAGTTATTTTTAATCATTGTCTTATTGTATGCAGCTTGGATTGATTGATTAGTTAATTAAAGTGAAGTCTTTGATAATTGCACTTTTATTTGAGTTTGTCTTTTGTAAAAAATAGTTATGTAATAAATTTATATCACATGATTAGTACATGTCCATAATGCTAAAATTCACATGATCAGTACATGTCTATAGGTTTTTTGCTACAAAACATACATTTTTGATATATCTGCATCTACTTTTTTGATACACCCAGATGTATCCCAAATTTTTCTATACTTTTTTGATACATGCATATGCATATGCACATAATTAGACTATTATTGATTGTTTGTTAAAATTCTAACTTCTGTGAACATGTTATTTAGTTAATAGATGTTACTAAGATTGCTAAGAAAATTACTTTAGTGTTATATTTCAGGCTGACAATGAATACTGAACCAAATTCTAGCATTAAATATTGTTAGAAATAAAACTATTTAGTTATAAAGCTGATGCTTATAACAATGCTAATACGTCATATTAAATTCTACCATTCTAGCTAAATTTTATATTTAAGAATTAAAGACTTTATAATATATGTAACTATAGTGTTTATACACAAACTTAGTTTTATCAAAATAACTGTTCAAATAGAACACAGTTATTACATTACAAGTTATTTAACTATATTTATCATTTAATAACATTTAAAACATATTGATGTGCAAGTTCTAATTTATAAGCAAATGCTTCTAATTCATTAACTTAAAGTTGAGTATTTATATTTAACACTAACTGAGTTGCAGGTGTTACGAGTTGTAGCTGAGGTGGAGACTCATGCATTGCAAAAGAAGAGTGCATCCCAGTTACTGAATGTTGCTTATTAGTTTGTGAAGTTGAAATAGAGGTTGTCTTAAGGCTTGAATGAGCGGTTCTTTATGATGGCTCTAAATATAAAGAAAAATAAATTTAAATTTAGGATATATATATTTTATTTTAAATAAAATAATTTTGATTTACTTTAATCTTACATTTTGCTTTTCGAATATTGGTTGTTTTTCTTTTTTGAACTGAAGGTGATAGACTTTTATCATTAACATTATTAGGTTAAATTGAATGTAGAATACAGCTAGGCTTGCATAGTTTAGCTGAAGGTTTTGAAGATGAACCATTATTTACTAATCACTGTTGACTTAGTTTCAATGTTCGAAAGAAATCTGTACAAACATTTGATGATTTCTTAAAAAGATAAAAAATATGTGCACTTATAATGTCTAAATAAGTTGGATTGTTCTTTGTAACCAAATTTACATTAATATTTAACAATATACCTTTATTATTATAAAGACAGATTATTTTCTGATATGTTTCATCAGTAGATCCAAGATAAATCTTGTTGTTTTTATTGTCTAGAAACATAACTCATTTCTTATTTTTAAAATAACTAACCAGTTTATGTTTTGTTTCATGTACTACATCTGTAAAGTTTGCTTGTGATATTGAAAAAATTCTTGTGACATGACAATGCTTGCAAACATTATAAAACAGTCCATTTTATATATAATCTAAATATTGTAGACATTTATCAGTAATTATATTTGTGATATAAAACCTATCTCTTATTGTAACTTTACAATTACTAGTCAGTAATTCTTTTATTGATTGAAGAGAAGTAGTATTACTTTTTTCAACTTCCATCGACTCATCATTAAAATCCAAATTGATAACTTCTAATTTATAATACTTTTTAACATAATAATAATCAGAGTGATTAGTTGGTTCAACCAAGTCTAGAAGAAAATACAATCTTTCCTAATTCAGATGTCGATTCATATATGATATTATTTTGAATGGTTTATTTTTTTATAACAATCTTAAAATTAGATTAATATAAATCAATAATTATATATATTTATTTAAATCAGATAGTTTATACTTACTTGCTTAATCAATTATGCATTAAATAATGTAACTAAACCTGCTTCATATATTACTTGACCTGTTCCTTTCTTATTTAAATTTTTATGTAATAATTTTAATCCATAAAGCCATTCAATAAATGTAACAACTGTTTGTCTGCCTGATAATTTAGATTCAATTGTACAGTTCATTCTTTCTGTATAATTATTGGTGGTCATTAAACTTGTATTATTTATAGTTACAAGTCATCTGGCCTCAATAAACTGTAATCTCCATTTATTACACATCCAATTTTTGTTTAAATTCTCAATTAATAAAGACTTTTGCTCTTGAGTAAGAGAAAGCTCACAATAAATTTATTGTAATAATCTGCTATTTCAAAGGCCTTTTCTTCAGTATGGCATTGACCTACTAGCTTGAATCCTAATACAATTATATATCTTATATTTAAATTAATTTTATATTTAGTAAATGTATATTAAAAATAAATAAATAAAATAAATAAATAAATAAAACTGACTATAATGAATGAGGAATGTTCTACTCTTTTAGGTTATTGCCAAATATTTGCATAATGTGAAACTAGCAAAGTATAGTTCCACATATAAGTCCTTCAACTCCAAGTTCAGTAGGTCGATGTTTATTAATCATCGCATAGAAATTCCACTCTTGATTGATATTACAGTTGTGAATTCTCTTAAACCTATTGTTATTTGGAAGATTTTCATAATATCATAAATGCTCACATGAAGGTTCATTACAGAGTATATTTTGTTTAACTGCATTAATTGCCAATCATATTGACCAATTGTTTTCTTTATTACTTAATTCTATAATTATTAAATAATGTAATTAATTATTTGAATAAAAAAAAATAAAAAATCAATAAATAGATAAGTAAATAAAAAATAAAATAATAAAATAATAAAATACAGTAAATAAATAAACAAATAAATATATCAAATGCTAATGGAGTTTCATGTTTGGCATTATTTTTAATAACTATAGTTAATATTGAAGCATGATCAATATTAAGATTGTATTTTCTATCAACACCAATGCAAAGTTGCTCAAAATCTCTTCTATTTTGTAACCAGAATTTATCAAACACTGTTAATTGATAGTAATGTTCAGCAGAAGTTTCTGGTTTAGATAAATTTGACTACTGATAGTATAAAACATAGCTCTTAGGTTTTAAGATTTCTTCAATGAAATAATAGAGAACTGTCTATGAAACTGTATAATCTTTTAACCTCCTATCTTCATGAATAATAAATCTCTCTAATTTCTTATTGTTGCAAATTTCTCTACTATTTAATAATGCTTTATATAAATCTTTCTTATCTGCACCATTTAATAAATATAATAATTTTCCTTTTATGGTTTTTGTTGTTTGATGATCAGCACATTGGTTAATAATGATTTGGTCTTGAACTTGATATATCAAATTAATTTTTGTAATTTGTAAAATACTAACATTTACCATATTAGGAGGATAATATGTTCCTTCAATTTTAATATGAAGTTGATGATCTAATTTAAGATATAATAATTATGAAAATGAATGAACCCTAACTGAACAATGATGCATATCATTTCTATTTTTTAGGTTATTAGATAAATTAAAATTTGAATATTCCAATATACATTCTCCAATACCACAACATTGATGTTAACAAGTTTTTCTATCAACAGAGCAATATATAACTTATGACCAACATAGCTTATTCTTTTTAAAGCTGACTTGAATTTGGTTGACATATTCTTGACCTTTATCAGTAAGTTTTAAAATATTATTAATATGATTTGTTAACTTTTGCATTTCAAAAGCTGTCTACTTTGTAAAATCAACAACACCATCTACATAATAAAGTTGAATTAACTCATTATGAATTAGTTTCATTATATAGAAATAGTTTTGGAACTTTAAACATGTATTTTTTAAAATTGGATGTTGTAGTAAATACCACTCAACTATTCATCCAAAAGGAACTGAGACTGAGTTATCACCATTATAGATAATTTGGTCTTCAAACATTTTATAAAAGAATAAAATATAGAAAGATCATATTCAAAAATAAAGTTTATAATATTCACTTTTATTTTTTGCTTTAAATTTATAAACTCACGTTAACTACATTTAAAACAAAATTAAAGTTGATCGAATTACTATTTATTCATTTATTTTTCATAATGTGATACATGTATTACATTATATTACTAATTATTTTATGACAGGGTGAAACCTGAGTTGTGAAATAGTAAAATCCACTATAATCTTCATCTAAAGGTAAAATCTGCTTTTATATAATAAAAAACATAATAAAACATGAATTTCACCCTAACCTAAACTACAAAGTGAATTTTACTATTTCGCAACTTAGGTTTCACCCTGTTCTATTATTTTTTAATATTTTTTACTTTGTCTTACTGATATGTGTACATATATGTAGATCATACATATGTACTATATATATTATAATAGGAGGAAACATTGATGTTACACAATTGATTTTACACACGGTGTGAAACACAAAAAAATTATTTTACAATACTTGAACAATCTTGATCAGTCCGCTAGTAGATGTTATGATTATAATCCAACACCATTTTATTATAATAAAAATGGTGTTGGATTATAATCATAACATCTACTAGCAGACACACGAAAAAATTCTGTGCCAGGTTGGTGGCGCAGCAAAATTGGTTAAAGTTCATTAACGTTCGGGTTAGCGTTTAGA